ATATATATATATATTTATTGTTTTCACAACTTTAAAATAAACTTAATAAAATAAGTTAAAAGTCAAAATATTAAATTTAGATTTATAAAAATATTCAAGCTCTAAAAATGATGTAAGATTTTAGGTTTGGTCAAAAATTACGTGTCTACAAGCACCACTACTAAGCACGTGTATTAACAAAATGCTAAGAAAAAAAAACTCATCCCACATCTACTTCGCAACTAGACGAGACCAAAATTCAATTCCTTTTGGATCCTCAAAAGATTTTGTCAAAGCAACGAAAAAATCACCACAGATTTCATCGAAGCAACAAAAGTCATTGGAGGTTCATTAAAGTGGCGAGAATCAATCTATTTTGTCTCTCTCCGGGAAAAGTTGGTAAAGACATTTCATATTTTTGTCATCCCATTTGCATACCAAAATATACAAATAGATCGAAATATACAAAAGCAGAACCCATTTGTATATTAAAATATACAAATGCAAGATCCATTTGTATGACGAAATATATAAACACACCCAAATAATTTTTTTTTATGTATATACAAAAATTATATATATATATATATATACACACACAGACTCAATTATATAAAATATAGTTATAACATACAAATATAATTTTTATGTTTGTTATTTGTGAAAATAAAATTGTAAAAAAAATGTATGAAATTATAATAAGGTAAAAACTTTTTTTTAAAAAAAAGATGCGGTGAACGTGGATCGAACGCGTGACCTTCAGATCTTCAGTCTAACACTTTCCCAACTGAGCTATCCCCGCTTGTTGGTATAAATTCTAACAAAAATAAATATATTTTTGTTAATGTTTAAGAGTCTATATACTGACATCTCTGAGTTTTTAATTATAGTAATTTGCAATATAACACATAATATATTAGATTGGATGGTATACATATACACCATTTATAAAAAAAGACATTTATTATTAGAATCAGAGCAACCAAAAAGGACCAGTCTAGCTTACGGAGCCCAAGCCTCACAGGCCAAGGAGTTTGAAGGACTAAGGCACACTTCATTTGGTAGGCCTGAAAATGCTCAATCCAACTCAACTCTAGAAGGGTCGAGGGCTGAGGCGGATAAACTCTTCTTTTTTTTTTTCAAACTTATAATTCTATAATATCAAGAAATGAAAAGATTTTCAAATCGAATATGGCAAACAATGGTGTAGTTTCAATAACACTAACAAAAAGATCTATTGTAATTAATATATATCTCGTATACCAGATATACGAGCGAGATAAGAGAGTGACAAGCAAGATGAAAGGGATGCGTGGACGCGAGATTTATCTATATATCCTAGACACATACAAGATTTAAATCCCCACTTATTGATATAAATTCTAACAATAAAGAAATATATTTTTGTTTACGTTTAAGAGACTATATAAATGGCATCTCTTATTTTTCAATTATAATAATTTGCACTATAACACATAATATATTAGTTTGAATTATACACATATACGTTATTTTATTAAAAAGACATTTATTATTAGAATTAGAGTGGTCAAAAAGGATCAGTCTAGCTTATGGGGCCAAAATCTTGCGGGCCAAGAAGTTTGAAGGGTTAGGGCAGGTCGATCCTTCATTTGGTAGGGCCTAAAAATGCTCAACCCAATCATGCCCTAGAAGGGCTGAGGGCTGAGGTGGACTAGTCTTTTTTTTTTTCAAACTTATAATTCTATAACATCAAAAAATGAAAAGATTTTCAAATCAAATATGACAAACAATGGTATTGTTTCAATAATAATAATAATAAATGTAGTGTATCTCACATACCAAATACACGAGCAAGATAAGAGACTGACAAGCAAGGAGGGAGGCAAGGGTCTTTTTCCGGTTTATTTGTTTTGTAATGAAAAGTATAGGATTTTGTTACCTCTCCAACTATCTCTCTATTAGGCAAGATTTTTCAGATAGATCTAAATGGATGCTTCACTGTAGATGATTTGTACAGCCACCTTGATACAAACATTTTTTATTTTTATTTTTGCAAAAAATCTTTTCAGAAATTCAAATGCACATTCTATAAACACAAGTAACTAAACATTAATTTTCATTTCATAGACAACTGTTTGGAATTCAAGAGCGCGGTGGAACCCATGATTCAGGTTATAAAATAAAAAAATTAGATTTTAATAAATAATATAACTAAAAATTCATAAAATTTTGAATTCACTTATAAAATATAGTATAGAAACAGCAGTAAAGGACAAAGATTAGGTTTTATTAGTTGAAGCAGGTAGGTTCATTTTTATGTAAATAATAATAATAACTACATTAAAAATATATAAATATTTATTATATCATACATACTTTTAACAAAAAAATTTATTATTTAATCATAATTAGTATATATATTCCAAACAAAAGCAGTATTACCTTTTATAATTATAAATAGGGGAAAAGGTTAAATATAATCTTTAATTTTAAATTTTTGAGCTGATATATTTTTTGTTGAAATAGTAATATATATTTTTATCAT